TTTTGCATTGTAATTACCTAAGTCTACAAGCTACCTGTTACTATGCAGTTGATTACATCAAGTCTGTAAATTAATTATATCAAATTTGTAATTCAATTAGCCAAGCATTTTAATTGCATCAAATTGCTATACATTACATATCCACTAATCATCTGAGGACTTGTCCACTGAGGTAGTATGGGCTGAGGTTAGAAACAGGAAAGGAGAGGTCACCTTGTTGGGAGTTTTCTATAGGCCTCCGAAAAGTTCCAGAGATGTAGAGGAAAGGATTGCAAAGATGATTCTGGATAGGAGCGAAAGTAACAGGGTAGTTGTTATGGGGAACTTTAACTTTCCAAATATTGACTGGAAACGCTATAGTTTGAGTACTTTAGATGGGTCAGTTTTTGTCCAATGTGTGCAGGAGGGTTTCCTGACACAGTATGTAGATAGGCCAACAAGAGGCGAAGCAGCATTGGATTTGGTACTGGGTAATGAACCAGGCAAGGTATTAGGTTTGGAGGTAGGTGAGCACTTTGGTGATAGTGACCACAATTCAGTTACGTTTACTTTAGCGATGGAAAGGGATAGGTATATACCGCAGGGCAAGAGTTATAGCTGGGGGAAAGGCAATTATGAGGCGATGAGGCAAGATTTAGGATGCATAGGATGGAGAAGGAAACTGCAGGGGCTGGGCACAATTGAAATGTGGAGCTTGTTCAAGGAACAGCTACTGCGTGTCCTTGATAAGTATGTACCTGTCAGGCAGGGAGGAAGTGGTCGAGCGACGGAACCGTGGTTTACTAAAGAAGTTGAATCTCTTGTCAAGAGGAAGAAGGAGGCTTATGTAGAGATGAGGCATGAAGGCTCAGTTAGGGCGCTTGAGAGTTACAAGTTAGCCAGGAAGGAACTAAAGAGAGAGCTAAGAAGAGCCAGGAGGGGACATGAGAAGTCTTTAGCAGGTAGGATCAAGGAAAACCCTAAAGCTTTCTATAGGTATGTCAGGAATAAAAGAATGACTAGAGTAAGATTAGGGCCAGTCAAGGACAGTAGTGGGAAGTTGTGTGTGGAGTCCGAAGAGATAGGAGAGGCGTTAAATGAATATTTTTCGTCAGTATTCACACAGGAAAAAGACAATGTTGTCGAGGAGAATACTGAGATACAGGCTATTAGACTAGATGGGATTGAGGTTCATAAGGAGGAGGTGTTAGCAATTCTGGAAGGTGTGAAAATAGATAAGTCCCCTGGGCCGGATGGGATTTATCCTAGGATTCTCTGGGAAGCTAGGGAGGAGATTGCAGAGCCTTTGGCTTTGATCTTTATGCCATCATTGTCTACAGGAATAGTGCCAGAAGACTGGAGACTAGCAAATGTTGTCCCCTTGTTCAAGAAGGGGAGTAGAGACAACCCTGGTAATTATAGACCAGTGAGCCTTACTTCGGTTGTGGGTAAAGTGTTGGAAAGGATTATAAGAGATAGGATTTATAATCAACTAGAAAGGAATAATTTGATTAGGGGTAGTCAACACGGTTTTGTGAAGGGTAGGTCGTGCCTCACAAACCTTATTGAGTTCTTTGAGGTGACCAAACAGGTGGATGAGGGTAAAACGGTTGATGTGGTGTATATGGATTTCAGTAAAGCGTTTGATAAGGTTCCCCATGGTAGGCTATTGCAGAAAATACAGAGGCATGGGATTGAGGGTGATTTAGCGGTTTGGATCAGAAACTGGCTAGCTGTAAGAAGACAGAGGGTGGTGGTTGATGGGAAATGTTCATCCTGGAGTTCAGTTACCAATGCTGTACCGCAAGGATCTGTTTTGGGGCCACTGCTGTTTGTCATTTTTATAAATGACCTGGATGAGGGCGTAGAAGGATGGGTTAGTAAATTTGCGGATGATACTAAAGTCTGTGGAGTTGTGGATAGTGCGGAAGGATGTTGCAGGTTACAGAGGGACATGGATAAGCTGCAGAGCTGGGCTGAGAGTTGGCAAATGGAGTTTAATGCAGAAAAGTGTGAGGTGATTCACTTTGGAAGGAGTAACAGGAATGCAGAGTACTGGGCTAATGGTAAGATTCTTGGTAGTGTGGATGAGCAGAGAGATCTCGGTGTTCATGTGCATAGATCACTGAAAGTTGCCACCCAGGTTGATAGAGTTGTTAAGAAGGCGTACGGTGTGTTAGGTTTTATTGGTAGAGGGATTGAGTTTCGGAGCCATGAGATCATGTTGCAGCTGTACAAAACTCTGGTGCGGCCGCACTTGGAGTATTGCGTACAGTTCTGGTCACCGCATTATAGGAAGGATATGGAAGCATTGGAAAGGGTGCAGAGGAGATTTACCAGGATGTTGCCTGGTATGGAGGGAAGGTCTTATGAGGAAAGGCTGAAGGACTTGAGGCTGTTTTCGTTAGAGAGAAGAAGGTTAAGAGTTGACTTAATAGAGACATACAAGATGATCAGAGGATTAGATAGGGTGGACAGTGGGAGCCTTTTTCCTCGGATGGTGATGGCTAGATGAGGGGACATAGCTTTAAATTGAGGGGTGATAGATATAGGACAGATGTCAGAGGTAGGTTCTTTACTCAGAGTAGTAAGGGCGTGGAATGCCCTGCCTGCAACAGTAGTAGACTCGCCAATTTTAAGGGCATTTAAATGGTCATTGGATAAACATTTGGATGATAATGGAATAGTTTAGGTTAGATGGGCTTCAGATTGGTTTCACAGGTCGGCGCAACATCGAGGGCCGAAGGGCCTGTACTGCGCTGTAATGTTCTATGTTCTATCTTAAGGCATCTTATTCTATGATTCTGTGAGATATTGTATCATGGCCTTATTTACCTTTGTAATATGAAAGTCCTTTTTACCAACCTATTTACAAGCGCTCTATATTTTCTATTACTACTGCAATCTTGTTCATTCATAACCTTTACTAACCATGCATTCACACGCATTCTACATTTACTACTAATACTGCATTCTGGTTCATTCATAACTTTATCACCCACGCACCAGCGCACTATGTTTACTATTACCACATTCCATTAATCTATTCATAGAACCGCGGTCTTGACAATTCATTGACATCAAATAGCGCTTCCGTGAAATTGAATGAATGAATGAGTGAGCCGGCGATAACAGTGAAATCCCGAGGCCCAGCTGTGGCACTCAGTTTACTATTCTCTCTCTACTTTGGTAAGTATGTATATGGTTCCCAACTTAGTTAAATCATGTAGGCCTAATATTTTTCTGTCTCTAGCATTTTCTAATGTAAAGATAAGAAGTCTAACATTTCTTCATCCTATGGATTATTTTTTCATGGGTACGAACCTTGTTTAATCACTTCTGATATATATGTATATGACCCCAATTTTGTAATGTTTATTTGATCGTCACTATGAATTCCTGATGTCTTATTTATTCCTAGTTTACCACACTTGCTTGATTAGTTGTTACATTTGAGTTTTGATGTTCTATTTATGTAAAGTCTGATGATGTTGCTTGATCTCAGCTAGGTGTCATTTCCTAACATGCTATCTGTAAGAGTTTAGTTGTTTGAGTTTGAATGATCATATAGTCACCACACAGGAACTGGTCTGTGATCATGTGATCCATCATGCTTTGCGTTCAGGATCAAGAGGAGGGAGTGTAGCCAGACAGACCACTCAAAAGGCAGAATCGGATAATACATCAAGCATGCTGGGAAATCAAGCCAAGCATTAGCCAAAGTATCTGTGCAAAGATACTGAAATAAACAAGCTGCAGACCCAGGCAGGCAGGCTGCAGCAGCAGACAGCACAATATACAATTGACTAAGCCAATTTACCAGGACAATAGGAAACGTGGAGTTGTTTCCGGAACAAAGGGACACTCTTATCTGGGAAGCCTACCTGACTTACATGCTCCTGACACTTTCAGAAATGGACCAAAGACCACCCACCATCCTCATGGCACTGCCTGACTGGGTCTGATCAATCATGGTAATTGATTCTGGATCGATCCATTGGTGGGAATCGAAAAGCCTCCCAAAGGGATGCGGAAGCTTCCAAGGATAAGCATCACTGCAACAGCATCCTTGGGAGCAATAACTCGAGACCAACCGCCATAAGAAGAGGCACCCCTGGGACCACCGGGAGAGGATGACCAGTTGACCAAGTGTACCAAGGCCAAGGTCCAATACAGTGATGTTTGATCATTCCAAGTTAAGTTAAAGTACAAAATACTGACTTAGAATAACAGTATTAATTGTCAGATTAATCACATTAATTGTTAGTTTGTAGCATAATCATTATTATAGTTTTAATTGTGTTATAACCAATAAAGGTCATTTCATATTACTATTAAGAGTCGACTGACAGTCCTCTGCGGGGTATACGGGCTAAACACAGTGTGGCAAGCGCAACAGTATGTATCGAACAAATATTATTTTGTGAACACTGAGGCTCAAATTCCAGTGATTCAGATATTTGGGTGCAAGTTGCCCATATTTTTGTGTGAGAACCACTTCTCAGCCTTGAAGTTATTTATTATATGGATACAAGGAGTGGCATGATAACTAGTCAAACCAATTTTATTCTTTTTTGATGTTTTCACTATCTGCAAGCACAATACAGATGTAAAACGATAATGCCCAATAATGTTTTGTTTCAGCTCTGCATCTCATGCAGTGAGTTGGACTCATTTCAAAACTTGTAGAAAACAACATCACAATGAGTCCACTGGATGAGCAGTTGGAAGAATAGATTTGCGGATGTCTGGATTTGTGGTGTTGGGACTGCCCACAGCTGAAGCTGTATAAAATGACTGAAAGTGATTCTCAGTCATAAAGTGACTGAGGAAGATTTATAGCTGAAACAGCAGCTTCCATAGTCTAAACTATAAATTAAGGTAATTAGCTGTTTTCAAAGAAGGAGTATATCTGAGGTAACTAGATTAAAATAACACATAGGATTTTGTGAAATGTATGCAATAGACCCTGTGGAACAGAAGCAGATGTAGCTGCTTATGTAGAGACTGTTAAATGAGGAATAGCATTGAGGAATGCTGATAGAAGCCTCTGTACCAAACTGCTTCAAAGCCTGGTATTCATCTTGGGATTGAAAGGAATGGTCTGACCACGCAGTGATCACACAGTCACATGATGTTAAGACCCCCAGGTAACTGCATGAGTAGTTAGATGATAACCAGCCGAAATGGGCTGAGTAACTGCATGTTTTCCTTTGTTTAGAGAAGTCCCTGGACTTCCAAGAGGCTCTTTCCTCACCAGGGTAAAACAATAAACTCATTGATGCCTGAAGTGGAACTGGGTGTAAAGTGATTCATTTTATCATTCCACTTCATCATTGAGAAATGGGTGGATTGGTAGAATAATAAATGGATAGTTTGTTGGATAGATGATATATGAATGGATAAGATTAGTGGATGGATTACTTGGGAGAAGGATTGGTAGATGAATAAATTGACAGACATTTGTCATGCTGGTGGATGGATGAATAATATTGAAAAGAAAAGAAGAATGTAATAGTAGAGTTCGGGGCTGTTTGTTGGATGGAGGAATGAATGGATTGGTGAAGCAATTCACTGGTGGAAAGATGGATAGCTGAATTAATTGTGTATGATTAAATTGTGTGGATAACTTATTAGATAAGCTGTAGTAAGTTACTTTTGGCTTGTTTGTTTGACTTCTGATCTTTTTATATTGCTTTCTCCTTGATCTATGATTTGATAGTTGAGTGGATGGTCACTATAGAGTGCACAATTCTATCGAACAACAAAAAAAAATACCCAGAGAACTTGTAGATGGTGGAAATCAAAAACCAAACAGAAATTGCGATGGGAGCTCAGCAGGTCTGGCAGCATCTGTAGAGAGAAAGTAAAGTTAACATTTTAGATCCAGTGTCCTTTCTTCAGAACCTTTCCTGTTCTAAGATTTCTCAGCAATTTCTGTTTTTGGCACTATTTTATTGATTGGGGAGGTCTTCTGATGGAATGGGTAGTGCTGCTACTTCTGAGCCAGAATTTCCAATCCAGAAGCATTCCACAGCATGATGGCCAAGGAAGATTCAATCATAATGTGGCTTAACTCGTTAACTGTTAGCTTGTAACTACTTTCAACAGATGCTATTGGCAGGTGATAAGAAAGGGAATAATTTCTGGTCAGTGATCTGCACAAGGCAATGGCAACCCATTGTAGTACAACTGATGAAGAGTTATTGGACTCAAAACATTGACTCTATTTTTCTCCCCACAGATGTTACAAGACCTCCAGCATTTTCTGTTTTTGTTTTAGATCTCCAGAAACCTCACATTTTCCTGGTTTCTTTTGTTCAGATTAAGGCCATTATTTCAGAATGAACTGTACCATTTTCAAACTTAATGTAGAATTCTATCGTATTATAGTCAATATTTCCCAAAGGTTTCTTTACAATAAGTTTATTAATTAGCCCTTTCACATTAAATCATACTAAATCTAAAATAGCCCAGTCCCTAACTGGTTCTTCAATGTACTGCTTCAGATATCCAACTCATTCTTAGTCCAGGAATTCTGTTTTCACCACATTCAAGCTGATTAGGTTTAATCAGTCTAAATGTAAATTAAAGATGCCTATTATTACTCCATTACTCGTGTTAAATGCACCCCTAATTTCTTGATTAATCCCATGCCCAATATTATTACTATCATTTGCTGGCCTATAAACAACTGCCAACAATGTTTTCTACTATTTGCTGTTTCTTAGCTCTGTCCAATCTGATTCTGCATCTTCAATGTAAGTTTCACCCTCAATATTTTACTAATTTTATTCCTTATAAGAGAACTATTCCATCTCCTTTTCCTTCTTAAATGATGACTATGCCTGAATATTCAGTTTCTATTCTTTGTTCTCATCTAAATATATCTCCATAATGGCAATTAGGTCATACCATATATTCCATACTGATACTATTCGGTGCTTGCCTTCATTTCATCTAGATTAAAATTTTACTTGCTATTTTTCTACTTTTTTTCACCAGTTTTGCTCCCTTTCTGTCTGTGTTCCTTCTCTGGGGTGGCACAGTGGCTCAGTAGTCAGCACTGCTGCTTCACAGCGCCAGGAACCCGGGCTGGATTCAAGCCTCGGGCGACTGTCTGTGTAGAGTTTGTACATTCTCCCCGTGTCTGCGTGGGTTTCCTCCGGGTGCTCCGGTTTCCTCCCACAGTCCAAAGATGTGCTAGTTAGGTGGATTAGCTGTGCTAAATTGCCCATAGTGTCTCAGGTGGGAAGTCTTATTTGGGGGTGGGTCTGCGTGGGATGGTCCTCAGAGGGTTGGTGTGGACTTGATGGGCCAAATGGCCTTCTTCTACTCTGTAGGGATTCTGTGATTCTAATTGAAAATCCTTCACCATAGCACTAGCAAATGTCCCTGCAAGGATATTAGTCTTAGTCCTACTAATATCCCACCCATCCTTCTTGTACAGGTCCTACCTTCCCCAGGACTTGTTCCAATACATGAGAAATCTGAAGCTCTCACGTCTTTGCCAACCCTCCTGCTACATGTTCAAATGTTCAATCATTCCATTTACATGTTCATTAATACATGTTACCAGGAGTAATCCTGACATTACTGCTTGTGACGTCCTCCTTTGTGGTCTACTCTTAAATCCCAAAACTCTGCTTTCAGGATCTCGTCCCTCTCCCTACCTATTGTCATTGGTACTAATGTTGACCATGACCTCCCCAGGAGAATGTCCTGCAACCATTCTGTGACATTGCTGATCTTGGCACCAGGGAGCAACATGCCATCCTAAAATCACAGACACAAAAATGCCTCTGTTTACCTAACAAATAAATCACTTAATTAGTCTTGCTGTTTCACTCTTCTTCCACCCCTGTACTGCAATTGTGCCACCCATGGTACCATAGATATGTCTCTGGCTACATTGGTTTGAGTTACCATAGCTCTCACAGTATTGGTTTTTAAATTCATTTAAGGGAGCATTGCTGGCTGGGTTGGCATTTATGTCCATTCCTAATTTTCCATGAGAAGAGCTGCTTTCTTCAACCGCTGTAGACCAGATGGTATAAGTATACCTACAATACTATTAATGAGGGAATTCCAAGACTTTGAGCCAGCTATAGTAAAATAAAGGTCACACAGTTCTAAGTCAGGATGTTATGTAGCTTGCAGATGATGTGTTCCCATATGTCAGCTGCCCTTGTCCTTCTGAGTGGTAGATTTCATGGTTTTGAAAGGTGCTGTCCAAGGAGTCTCAGTGTTATACTGGATGTTGTATATGGTACATACTGCTGCCACTCTGTTTTTTTAATTCATTTGTGGGTTGTGGATATTGCTGGTTGGCTAGAATTTTTTGTCCTTCCCTAGTTGCCCTCGAGAAGATGATAGTGATCTGCCTTCTTGAACCACAGCAGTCCACCTGCAATGGGTTGACCTACAATGCCATTAAGGAGAGTGTGTCAGTGGTGGGGGAGTGAATGTTGAAGGAATTAGATGGGATGCCAATCAAGCAAGCTGTTCTGTCCTAATGGTGTTGAATTTCTTGAGTATTACCCAGGCAAGTGCAGAGTATTCAATCATACTCCTGACTTTTAGATGGATATCTTTGAGGAGACAGAGTGAATTATTCACTGCAACATCTGACCTGTTGTTATGGCCACAATATTGATATGGCTAGTCTAATTCAGGTCAATGGTAACTCTCAGGATGCTGATTGTGTGTGATTCAGTGGTGGTAATGCCATTGAATGTGAAGGAGGAATGGTTGGATTTTCTCTTACTGGAGATAGTCATTAACTGGTACCCATGTGGTGTGAAAGTTACTTGCCATTTATCAACCAAAGACTGGATGTTGTCCAGGTCTTATTACATTTGAAGGCGGAGTTCTTCAGTATCTGAGGAGTCATGAATATTGCTGAATGTTATGCTATCATCAAAAAACATCCCTACTTCTGACCTTATAATTGAGGGGAGGTCATTGTTGAAGCAGCTGAAGATGATTGGACCTAGGACACCCCCTGAAAAACTCTTGCAGGTATCTCTTGGAACAGAGATAACCAATTGCAACAATCACAGTCATCTTTCTGTGTGCCAGGTATGACTCAAACAAGTGGAGAGTTGTCCCTGATTATGACTGACTTCAGTTTTGCTTGATGTTACACTCAATCAAATGCTACCTTGATGTCAGTTGCAGTTACCCTCAATAACTGGCTTCTATAACTTAGCAGTTACTTACAAATCATCATCTTCACCTGTATGCAAGTAAGTACCAAATACTGATTGAGGGTTTAAAAAAAAAAAAAGGAAAAGAAAACAACACACCCTGTCCATCGTTCACCAAATTGTCTCTGGAGACAGAAACGGGGAGAATGGAATGGAGGCATTGCAGAAAGGAATGTCTGATGATGTGAGGTCCAGTAACCATATGAATCACATATGCTGGTGGACAGTCAATCAGAGGTAGAAACAGTGATGTCAAGGCAGGGAAGTGAAGAATAAGAGATGGACTAGGTGAGGGTGAGAGAGGGATGGAAAGTGGAAGCAAAATTGATTAATTCCGAACAAGAGCACAATGCAGCACTGATGACACCATCAGATTGAGGTCTGAGTAAGATTAGAAGTGTTCTATATGCCCACATACAGACAGGCAAAACTAGAATCCATGTGGGTATTCATAGCTATACCTTTGGCCTAAAGAAAGTGAGACGAGTTAAAGGGGAAGTTGTTCAAATTAAGAACAACTCAGCCAGGCAAGGAAGGGTCATAGTGGATGGGAACTGTTCAGGTTTTGTTTCAAGGAAGAAGCAGAAAGACGTCGGTGTATCCTGATGGGGGATGGATGTGTAAAGGATGGTGCATCCATGGAGGAAGAGAAGGTGGTTGGGGCCAAAAAATTGGAAGTTGTGGAACAAATGTAAAACATTAGCAGAATCACAATTGTAGGTGGGAAGAGGCAAAACAAAGGGTGAACAAAATTGACTTAAGACAGCAAGAAATAAGTTCAGTGTTGCAGGAACAGGCTGAAACAATGGGTCTGCCAGGGTAGTCCTGTCAGTACAGAGTTAGGGGCAAGGAGGTAGGAAGATGTGGAGGTGAGATCCCACAAAGGGGAGGAGATGAAGTCAGTGACAGTCCTGGAAATAACAGCTTAATGTTCAGTGGTAAGGTCATGGTCCAGGAGGAGATAGGAGGAAGTGCCCGAGAGTTGGTGCTCAGCCTGCTTTACAACAAGAGCACCCATTGAGGTCCAGGTCCACTGAGCCTCCTGCCCAAATACAGGATTACCTATCACGGCTTGAAGTCCTGCAGGCTTTGCAATCACAGGCAGGGAAGGGTGGAGGACTAGGCACCTCTGAAGTGCCTGGGGAAGAAGCATTGAGATCCTGTGCATGACTCCTTTTTCCTCTGGGTCCTGTTCCTGTAGCATCACGCTATCTCTGAGAGGAAGGAACACCAGAGTGAGATCAAGCTCTTGTCTCCCTCTCACATTGCCACTGATGAGGAGCACCTATGGCTAGAACAATGGAGTGCAGGTCTCTGCACGTAACCAGCAAGCACAGAGTGCTTTCCTGGCTGGCAATGGTACTCACCAACCTGCCCGTGGAGACTGCCAGACATGTGCTTCTGATAGTGTTGGTGGACTGTTCTGATCTTTGATCCAGCTTACAGACTGTCTCTATCAAACCTGCCTGCTGTTCCTATCTGTGTAACAAAGTCATTAATGGACAAAAGTATGGGATCATTCTCTGTCTGAAGCTGAGCAGGTGCCTCATCTCTAATCATCATCTGAGTACCAGAGACCTGGGACATTTCTTCCTCAACCAGCTGTAGAGACGTTTAAGCGATATGACCATAAGATTTTACTTCTGAATCTAATCTAGAAAGTGTACCCACCGAGATGAATCTCTGAACTGGAGAACACCTTGATAGTGCACCCTTTGAGGGTTCAGTGGCTTCTTCTTCAGAATTGAAGTTAAGGTTCTCAGGTGCTGGCCTCTTCATGGAGTTTTTCTGAGTGCGGTTAGTGCCCTAATAGAAGGGAGAGGATTAGTTAAAGAAAAGGGATAAAAGCTTGTGCAGAGTAAGGATGAGTTATACTGGTGGTGGTAATGGATTGTGGTGCAGCACAGCACAATGAACTTTATTGATTTGCTCAGCCACTGATATCTCCTCAATTCCAAATGACCACTCATGCTGTTCTTCAACTAACTGTAGAATATTCTACTCATAGGAGAGGAGGTTAAAGTCCCCCAGACCTCCCCAGCTTGGCCCAGTCATAGGCCAATTTTTCCTAAAATGAGGCAGAGATGGATTGAGTATGACTTGTGATACAAGGTGTGTCATTCATATATATTTCAATATTATTTATTTTGGAGTTTGGAATTTCTAGATTTTGGTTTATCTCTATGAAGGCATTTAATGATTATCTTGTCTGGCTTGCAAGAGCCATGTCTTTTTTAAAATTGTGTATGAGTAATAGTTCCCGGAGCGTAATGGGAATTTGTTTGCAATGGGACAGCATTTACATCAAAATCTATTTATTTTCCAGTTAGAAGAATCCAGAATTGTTTTTTTGTTGGCTTAGGGGAAATACTTATAGCTTAGAATGATTTTTGGCTTCAGTTTGTAGGAGTCCTGGTGGAAGTTAAATTATAGATAGGTTCTGCTGAAGAAAGGAAATACTTTAGAATTTAGGAAATAGGTTGCCTTGATGATTTGAACTTAGTTTGAAAATTTCAGACCAGAAATTTTCGGTTAGAACCTTTCTTCAGGAGTTGTTTTAAGCTCAAAGTCTAAACTCAGTTGTGTGACTATTCGAGGAAGATGCTATCAAACTCTCAAGACTGGGAATGGAAAGCCACAATTAGGTCAAACCTAATAGATGTGGTACAGAATGGAATTCTCTAATGTTCGAGTATTGTAAATGTTGAGTATTGCTGTGGAAATACAGCAATTATTCATTGTTTGTATTATATTTCATTATGTGTTTCAAAATATTTAATATTTGGTTATGTGTGGTTAGTCTGGTTTATCTGATTATCATATTTTCTTTCACATAATAAACTTGTGTTTTATTGTTAAAGTCAAATCTGCAACATTACATGCCTGTGTTCAATGAAAGATTGCCAAATTAAATTAAAAATATGATCCATCAAGCCAGACTTCAGTCTGGAATCTGCCTCATACAATAACATCAGCTGGAATTGTCAGCTCTTCAGTATACCTCACGTGTTGTTCAGTTTAGTTGGGGCAGTGCCTAGACCTCACCAAAACCTGTAAAGATAGAACTCTACACAAAAGTGATTCAAGACGGTGGTGGAGTAGCAGACCTGCATGTGGGCTTTTGCTTGGGTCTCAGCTCCTCCTACATGCTTTCTTTTTACTTCTGCTCTTTCATTTTGATTTTGTTTTTCTTTTCTTTGGTGTCTTTTGCAGTGGGTTAGTTAGTGAAATCGACTTGGCAACAAGAGCGAGGTGTGTGCAGAGTGACAGCTCCTCCTGGTATTCGGAAGTAGTGGCAGATGCAGATTCTCGTGGCGACTGGAGGCAGTCGCAGCAGCAGGGACATCCTCCCAGCATTCAGGGCTGGTGGGGCAGCAGGGGCAAAACTCCTCCAGTGAGATTGGAGGTGGTGGCAGCAGACATTAAGATGGCAGCACTGGCAATGTGACATTTCAGAGGAGGGTGGTCAGAGTGGGGCTCTGAGATTACAGCAACAGCCTGGCCTAGCAGCCAAGCCAGAGGCTCCTGGTTGTGGGGCAAGTGTCAGCTCACCATGGGACCCAGCTTTGTCACCAATGATGGTGTTGGTGAGGTGGGCACAGCAGCGAAGAAGTAGTGACTAAGTAGTGGCAACTTCTATGTTAGGGTACTGTCCTATCCATTGTATTTTAGCTGAGATATTAATTTTTGTTTTAATTGTCTAAATCACTTGAATATCTTATTCTTCCAGGTTTGGTAAAATAGGAAAGAGCTATTCATACTTCCAGGGAAAGCATTGTCCATAAATTTCTGTTTACCCTTATGGAAATGAATTCAATTTCAGTTGTCTTTTGTGTCCTTCATGAAATAAGTACAGTTTGTTTCCTCCAGCTGGCTAATCACAATTAAATCCACAAGAGAAATCAGGAGACATTTGGGAGTCATGTCTAAATGCTCCTTTACATTGGTTTTTAAAAAGGAGATTACCATGTCTTATAAAATCTATAAGATTACAGCTACACATTTATGACACAAGTTATACTTGCCCCAAATATGATCTTTAGACAGATGTTTTAACAGGATACCAATTTCTTCAGGATGGAGGTTAAAAGAGTGTTGACTATGGTTGAAAAAATACATACAATAAATAATTAACAGACTTAATTTTTCATAGTTATTGATATATTTTGTAGAGAAAGATTTCCCCACTCCCTGTCAATTATGTGATGTAGGGTCTCCCACATTGAGATTAAAATAATGAGTCTTGGGATTTCTTGTGGACAGAGATGGATTCTGAGGCCAAAGCAGTAGCTCTTTCATTGACAGTCTGTGTCTTTTGTCCCTTCTGCTTATCTTTGAAGTGACCACATTGACTGATCTCTTTGTGAGTAGCTTTATCAGATATTTTGTGATTATTCAACTCCACAAGACCTATCCAAGTGTTGCTGTTGCTATGGGAATAGCAAGTGGAAAGAGCCTGCAATATTTCAGAAACTGGTGTTACCATGGAGATGGAATCAATAGGCCTATTGGATTGTGTAAAAAGTCTGAATCCACTACAAATGTAATGAGCAATGTTCCTTCAGTTAAAGGATTTTCACTTTTCAGAAAATCTGCCAGAAAACGAGGCCCTGATTTTATCCTCACCCTATCAGTCCCATGCTCATTTCTTGCCTCAAAGTAAAATTGGAACAATTGGTGGCAGAAATTCTCAGCAGTACCTAGAGGTTTTAAAGCATAAACTTACTTCATTTGCTGTGGAAAAGGATTTTTGTTAAACAAAAGTCAGTTCTTCCACTGGCTGGCAAAAAAATTAAACAGACACTTTGATTACAGTCTATAAAATTGGAACCCTTATAAACTGCATTGAGAAGTTTGGTAAACTGCAGGATAATCTACACAAAAATAACTGGAAATATATGAAGAAACAGCATCTGTCAATTACATTTGATCAATCACAATTCATTAATAGTAAAATCTGTGACTAAAGATGACAATTTTGGCCATGTGACCAATTAATACTTTGAACTCCACATTATGCAATCCTCTGCCTTTTAATTTATTAAAGCCTCTGCACCCCATATTATCTGGGTTGGAAGGCATAATGTGGAATTTTATTGATAAATAGCCTGTTTGTATCTGGGTGTTGCTATTTCACGTTCAAAAATCGAGCCACAAGGAAATTTTGTTATTCAGTCCATATTTCTTGAACAACATCAGTGCACCATATTGTCAAACTGTAGGCTCTATGCATCGAGTTTAAGCCATGCTCTCAACAGAAAACATTTAGTAATACATGGGCTGAATTTTGCCTACCCTTGAGTCTGCTTCTGAAATGGTGACAGAAGGCCCCACATCTTTGTCCCCACTGAAACATCAGTGGGTCACTTGTTTATGGATACTCCATGACCCATTGTATAGTCCACAGCATCAACACTGCTGTTATGGCTTTAGTACCACTGCTGGAAGGCACAGCTGCCTGTCAAATTGCTGGGGTATACCAGAACTTTGTTCAAAGAATGTATCTTGTTTTTGAAAGCCCTCAGCATAGAAGTAAACTCTCACTGACACTGCAGAGACAGCATTATTTACCTTTAACAATGGCACTGCCAAGACTGTTGAGTTGCTAGCCTTCTAATTGGGTTAGTAGCTCTAGAAAGTAAGTCACATTCCTCATTTGGATGGCAGTCCTGGCAATAGCCTCTTCATTTGCTATACTGGGAAAATATTGTCCCAGGTTTGTGCTGTAGACTGACATGCAATTGGCTCCCAACTTTGGACACAGCAATGGAACTAATTCCTTGGTGATAGTATGCAGTCCACGTTGAGAAAGTGCAAATGCAGTCTACACAACTTTTACACAAGAAATCATAGGTAGATGCATGTAATTTTCTTACATAATAGTAAGACAGTTTTATGAAATAGGACCATTATGTTGGTCATCTGTGAATAACCATTACTACAACAATGTTCAAAGTATGAAGATCCTTTTTTGAAACTATGTTCTTGCATCAACCAGACAGGTGCATTGGAATTCAGTTACATCTAGTGGAGAATCTGAACTGGCATGTGAGAAAAGACATTTGCTTTACAAGGAAGTGAAATCATGAAATGCCAGGGTATCTGACTCAGGCTAGAGAAATATATTCATTCCAGTGGACTAGGTCTTTTGAAGGACCATAGGGAAGAGGAAATAATGAGATTTTCAAGTTCAGTTACCAAGGTAGGCTGAACCTAGTTCCACCATTGTGATCTTCAGTTATAAAATGAAACAGGATCTCTTCCCCACATGGGTAATTATAAGATGCTGTCACTTTGATTAGTGATTGGCAGAATAGGAGTGACTGAAAAGATGATAATATAATTTGTGTTCACTGAATAAATAATAAGCAGATCTTATAATCTGCCACACAAGAACTGATTTTATCATAGAATCCCTACAGTGCGGAAGCAGACCCTTCGACCCAACAAGTCCACACCGACCCACCAAGACCCATCCCCCTATAACCCACCTAATGTACACATCCCTAGACACTACAGGCAATTTAGCATGGCCAATCCACCCAGCCTGCACATCTTTGGACTGTGGGAAGAAACAGCAGCACTTGGAGGAAACCCATGCAGACATGGGGTGAATGTGCAAGCTCCACACAGACAGTCGTCCAAGGGTGGAATGGAACCCGGGTCCTTGGTGCTGTGAGGCAGCAGTGCGAACCACTGAGCCACCGTGCACAAGAGTTTTTGATAAGCAGTTTCAAAACCAGATGAGCTGTCATAAGTTTAGATAGTATAAGCGATTCTCTGTTCATCGAAGCCATGGTATTGTT